TAGGACCTCAACATTAGTTACATGATCCACCCATGAAATTCTTAAAATACGTCTGTAACACTGTAAATTTGACAAAAGGCCCCTGATGATGCTGTAGAAAGCGAAAGTACTTGGACAAGATTTGATTAATAAATTTGTGCTCGATATTTGCCTTAATTGTTCAAAGTACATTTATTCGAGCATTTAACCTTATATCAATTAATAGTGATTACGTTCTACATATTTAAAATGGTAATTTATTTATTCAATTAGCTTTTTGGATTTTTTGTATTGGGTGTGAATGTGAAAGACAAGTTACATTTTCCTACTATCTTTATATATTTTTTACTTTATATGCTCTGGTGGGGGGTTTAACTCCCAAACGCCCCCTGGGTGCACCACAGTGTCGTTATTCTCTTTTCTGTCTTGCTTTCTTTATTTAAACCTAATATCGAAATTTTCATTCCTTCGTGGAATATTTACGTGTTTTTCTAATCGTTCGTTGCTTTATCTTTGTATTTGAAAAATGATCCAATAGAGATAATCAGTAAAAACTCCTGATTCCAGAATATAATCTTGATATTATTAATTAAAATCACAATTGTTTTACTCATCATAAAAGATTAAAACCGAAAGATGCTGCACTAATTCAATAGATATCAGACTGGCCTATTAATATATTTTATCGGTCGCCAGGCTTCCAAAGTTTTCAGCAGTCTCTATCTTTAGAAAAATTAATTGTTTTTGCAATAAAATTATAATAATTGCTATAAGAACGATAAAGTGAATGTATATTTAATGTTGCTGTAATATATATTGTACATTTAAAATAAAATTTGTTTGTATCTAACAAACGTAAAACTTTATTTTAATAATTTAGATATGACTTGTACTCTTGCAAATTGTTGAAAAATCATACGAAATACTTACAGACTTAATATTTTTTCTTAAAAACTATAATATTAAAAAAGTAAAGAATTAAAACAAATTATAAATCAGGCATAAGGCAAGAATACACTGTCTTACGTGATACGAAATATACAGACTATAATTGGTTTCAAATGAGTGTAGAGTAATAAATCATGAAGTGTCATAAAATTTGCCTGAATTTCGGTGTCGTCATGGGCGTAGGCAAATGGACGGATGTCAACTTCGTCGTCAAAAATTGATGTAGGTACCTCAAAATATCATATTTTGGATATTTTGTGATAACCAATTTTATTTAATTTTTCGATTAACTTATTCTTCAAACTCGTATTCCATTATATGGTCATTAAAGCTAATTACATTTTTATTTATAAAAACAAATTCACTTCCTTACTGAACGAATAAAAGCATTAGAAGAAACTGATAAGGGTATGACGCACCTCCTAATATTACTAAGAACTAAAATAAATCAACATGAAGACTAATAACGCGTAATGAGGTTTTACTTACACTTTCATTATAATCCCTCTTTTATTTTATTATTATCATTCGACATTCGACATTCAAGTTAGTAATTGTTACTACACCAATTAAACGTACAGTAATATTGTGATATAGAAATAGTGAAAAAGTTATAAAATGGCGACATTTACTCCAAAGAAAAGAGGTGTAAAAAATTCTCCGCTATCTGTTAGTGAAAAAGTTATAATTTTAAATGTATATGATTGCATAAAACACGATCACCCTAGTTTGTCTGTGCAAGAAAGTGTTGAGCGATGTGCCCGAATGACTGGAATTGGACAGTCCACGATTTTTAAATTATTGCGAGAAAGAAAGATATCAGGCCAGTTAAGTCCATGCAAGAGAAAATCAGGAAGACCAATAAAAATCTTAGGTGAAGACACCAAACGTGACATTCGAAGAAAAGTTCATTCGTTTTATTTAAAAAGGAAATACCCACCCTTGACAAAATACTAATGGAGATAAGCCAAGATAACGATATTCCTTTGATATCCAGAAAACTTTTATGGAAAACTTTAAAAAGTATGAATTTTTCCTGGCAAAAGCACAATCGAAAGGCACTATTACTGGAAAGTGATGAAATCATTTGCTGGAGACGAAAATATTTGAGAACTATAAAACAGTACCGCAGAGAGCACAAGAAAATTTTTTATCTTGATGAGACGTGGATAAACGAAGGTTATATAGTCCAAAAAATGTGGCAAGATAAAAATGTAACAAGTGCTCGTCAAGCTTTCATAGAAGGCCTTTCGACGGGTATTAAAGTGCCTTCGGGAAAAGGGAAGAGGCTTATAATTGCTCACATTGGAAGCGAAGAAGGATTTTTAAAACAAGGTTTGTTAAGCTTTGAGTCGTGTCGGACGGGAGATTATCATGAGGACATGAATTCGGATGTCTTCGAAGACTACTTCGGGGAAATGTTAAAATTTCTTCCAGCTGATTCGGTCGTGGTTATGGATAATGCAAGCTACCATTCAAGGCGCATAGAGAAGGTACCAACTTCAGCTTGGAGAAAGCAAGAAATTATTAACTGGCTGTCAAATAAAGGTATTCAGTTTGAGACGAATTCAATAAAGAAGGAACTACTAGCCGTAGTAAAACAACAAAAATCTCGCTTCATAAAATATGCCGTAGAAGATGTAGCAGAAAAGTATAAAGTAACTGTGCTACGCCTACCGCCATATCATTGCGAATTAAATCCCATAGAACTTATATGGGCACAAGTTAAAGGATATGTTGCAAGGCACAATACCACATTTTAAAATGAAAGATGTCAAGGTATTGTTTGATCAAGCCGTTATGGAAATCACATCAGAAAACTGGCAAAAAGCAATCCAGCATGTTTTAAAAGAGGAAGATAAAATGTGGGAACTGGACAACTTGGTCGATCAGGTGGTTGACCCTATAATTATAACACCAGGGGATGATGACAGTTCTTCGGATGAAGACTATAGTGATGTAGAATTGTAATAACGTATCCAGTAAAGTTTTTGTAGTTTTTGTGAATAAATTGATTTAAACTCCCCACAAGTGTTTCAATATGTAAAGTTCATTCGTGTGTGTTTGTGAGTATTTCCCGATTTCGGTTCGTATATATTTTACTGTTACATTTTATATTTTTTTAATAACACTGTTCTGCTGTATTACATTTTTATTTCCTTTAATATGATTTTTAAGAATGCATATTCTTTTGTCAATTAACCCACTAGCGCGCCTCTGGCTCAGTGTTTATCTGTCGATAACAATGGACTAATCCCTTAAAACAGGGTGATACCTACCTGCTCTTTATGAAACTACAGAATTTTGCAATGCGGACGGAATTTATTGACGGATTATTGACGGATTACCCTGTAGCGCTTTTGAATACTTCATGAGATTTTATTACTCTACACTCATTAGAAATAGATTATACATGAGAAAAATTCTGAATTGTATTAATTATGGAAGAAGTATATATAGACATAAATTGTTGAAAAATAGAATAAAACTACATCATTCTTAACCCCAAAATACAATCAAAAACTATGTGGCTAGAAGAAGAGAAGTTAAAAGAATTTGTAGGAAGAAGAAAAGAAAACAGCTAGAAAAGCCATTATAAAACATAAAAGAAACCTAAATAAACAACGAGGTAAAAAATATCTACCGAAAAGTTAAAAAATTCATAAAATTTAAAAAGAATAATGCCAAGTATATCAGAAAGAAAGAAGGCTTACTTCTAGGAGAAACAACAGAAAAAATAAACAAATACTTTGGAATACTTCGAAGATCTGGTAAACACAGACCAACAAGAGGAACTAGAGAATGAAGGGACGTCCAAGGAACCAATTTTTAATGAAGTTAAAAAAATAATAAGAGACTTAAAAAATAATAAAAGGGCAGGAGAAAGTGATAATCCTAGTTAAGATTTTTAAGCAAGATGACGAAAGTTAGGAAGGCTAAAGGAAAAAATATTTCGCTTAGCATTAGCAGTTTGGCAAAAGGAAGAAATGCCGAAACAATCAAATAGCGCTCTTATTGGTCCTATCTACAAAAAAGGAGACAAAATGGAGTGCGAAAACTATAGAGGTGTAGCATTATTAGAAGTAGTCAATTAAATACTTTTCAATTTTTTAACGTGTTTGTGAAGTCCAGTGTCGGCTTTTTATATGTTTTTTAAATTTTAAGAATTTCAACACCAACTAAATCATAATTTTGAAATTTAAGGAAATGAGATCTCTCCTTTGTAGTGGTATTTAAAAATTGACCATAGCTCTGATGATGGCTTTGTAAAGCCGAAAGCGCTCAGCTAGGAATTGCCTAAAATATACACACTTCAAAAATACTTTTTTGCATTTTCTTTCGACTTGTCATAAGTGTGTACAAAAAAATATCAGTCTTTTGATTGATAATTAAATACTTGCAAATATTACTGAAATATGATAACAAAGTGATTGGGGAATACCAAGGAGGTTTAAGGCCAGGAAGAACAACTACTGATCAAACAAGTACGTTAACATTAATTAAAAATAATAGCTGTGAACAAAACTGGGATTACATGTTATTTATGGATTTTAAACAAGCATACGACTCCATGAACCGAACGTTGCTATACGAGTCCATAAGGACATTATTAATACCAGAAAAGCTTATATGGCTACTAAGAATGACGCTTATTAACATGAGAAATAGAGTAATAATAAAAAAAATTTGCACTGGGGGAGTGCCGACAGAAATGAAAACTTCTTTGGTGACGTTGGACAATGAACGTATATTTAGATAATTAATGTTTCAACTATTTACATGTAAATATTTATTATTATTAATGAAATTATATAAAATTAATATCCGTATTTTCACATTAAATACGTTGTGCATTATTAATTTTTTTGGATTTACAGGATAATTTCTCTCGAATCGTTTTATTTATCAGTAGAAAGTACTATCATTTATATGGTAAAATGTAATATTCATTGATTGCGCCATCATATTCAATTATTACATTTGTTTAACATTTACATTTATATATTTATACATTTACATTACAATTAAAATATTTATACATTTATATTACAGTTAGTATGCACTTCAGAAAATCAACTTTTATCCGTAATTGCAGCAACTCTTTCACCATCGTCATTGCCAGCATTACCATCGCTAATTTCTAAATCTAATATAATAGGTTTATGGTAGCTGAAGTAAGAAATGAATAATTTTGATTTGAATCTATTTAAATTTCTTGTAAAGACCGCGTCAATAGTAGTATGATACTTCGTTATGCTAATATTGCGATCATTTGACATCGTTAAACCCAATTCACTATTTAAAAATTCAATTAATTATATAGTTTTATCATCTGCAAAGTTTATGTTAAAATCTCCACTCAAAATCATTGGCAAAAATCTTTTCCCAATTTTTTGTTGAAGTAATGCTGATGCGCCATGAGAATAAATAAATAAATTTTCATACAAAAAGTCTCGTATAGCACGTAATGAATTACCCGGAGAAATATAAATTGCAACCATAACAATGAATCGATTATCAATAGAGTGGCAACGAGATACACACATAATATCGCCTATTGGCGACGTGCAAGTACTTGGAGGGGATACGAGAAACGATCGTGCGTGAGTAGTGGAGAAATCTTGCATTTTTTACTGCACATTTCATAGATTAAAGATTTCATAAATTCATATTGTCAATTGTCATATTTCATATTCGTTTTGTTTATTTACACCTTCTGTCACTGAAGAAAATGGGATTTAGGAAATGCTGTGTTATAAATTGTAAAAATACAACAAAAAATTGTCAATTTAAGTTTTATTCGTTTCCAACTTCGAAGCACAAAGCTACTACAAAGAGAAAAGTGGATTTATATCATAAAAAAGCATAAGTAACATAACCTAAATCATGCATTATTCTTGCGCTCGATTTTAAAGTCAGTTTGAAATAAATAATAAATAAAAGTTCACTTTTAAGTATAAATTTTAGTTTCATAACACTCACTTAGAGTTCATTTTAACCCAAAAATCAAGTTTAATGTTTGAATTTTATTTTTTTGAAGTTTACAAAAATGCATCAAGTTCAAGTTTTTCTGAAGATGCATTAAGATATATTCGCTGTCCAAAAGTTTACAGGGAAAGAATTAATTGTTCAAACCAATATGATGATATCATGGGCTTAACCTGCTAATGTATGCATTAGCATTATTTATGGTAATTTATTTTTCTTAATTCTTCCACTCCACATAATTCTTCCATTATTTTTTGACATTTGCCACTACTAAAGCTTTTCCCTTTGACTCGTGCTTGGTTAAAAAGTTATTTGGTGATTTACTGTCTCAAATCCAGTTTTTATTATTGCATCCATATTAACAGTAACGCTGTAATTCAATAATATATTTATTTGTATTTACGCTACATCAACGTTTACCTCTTAATAACATACCGACATAACCTCAATCTTACTTTTTCTTCTTATTCTTTTTTGGGGCCACGTCCTTGACAGTTATCCGGTAACCTCGATCTAACATGAAAGCGCAATAAATTTGGCTGATTTACGACACCAGGTGTCGCTGTTCCGAACTTGCACGGTCCCAATATCAGAAATACCTATATATGCGCGTTGCTTGTCGGCAGCTAGTCCGGCTAGCTCCTGCAGAGGATAAGATTCTGCACAGAGCGTGGCTGGCGCACGAGAGCCGATGTATATACAATATACATACACATATATGTACATAATATATCTCGCGGTAGCGGCGACGGTCGCGAATTCAATGCTTTTTCCCCATCCAAAAACTGCATAACGTCGCTAAAGAAGTTTTCACTTCAAAAAAGCTTTACCAACTATGAACTGCTAAGACAGTTCGTAGTGAATAGGGTTTGAAAACAAGGGGATCTACTATCAACATATTCTACTATACTGCTAAACAGTTAAAGTAATAATGGAACTAGAAAATAACTAACAGAGAACTTCCAAAATATAATATGAGATAAAAAAATCACCTCGGTCGTTAACATCACCGAAATAATAAAAGCTAAGAAACAAAAATAATAATAACACCAGGAAGCCTAATCAATAATATTTTAAAAATTTTAATACAAAAAGAATTTTTGTCTCGTACAAAGCCTTGCTTTAATTGATTTTATAAGCTTGGAATATTTTGACAGTTGTTGCAACCATAAAACATAAAAATTCCTACCATTCATTATTAATTTATGAAATAACCTTACATTTGCAGACTTCTTTAATTGTAAAAAATAAAATAAGCATGAATAATGGAATCGTGTATTTATTTACTTAGTTTGATTAATTAGACTAACAACTAAGCTTGACGAATACCAAGCAAGAGAACAAGCAAGATTCAGAAAGGGTTTTAGTACTAGCGACCATCTGCTAACAGTAAAAATACTGATTGAAAAGTCGAACGAGTATCAAATCCCATTATACATGGCATTCATAGACTTTCGAACGGCGTTTGACAGCATAGAACATTGGGCCATCAAAAACTCACTACAGAACGGCAGAATTAATTACAGGTACACGGCCCTAATAACAAACATATACAAAAATGCGAGTACCACAATAAAATTGGCGAACGAACACGCTACAAAACCAATAAAATTCGAAAGAGGAATCAGGCAGGGAGACACAATATCACCAAAATTGTTCAATCAGGCTATGGAAGACATATTTAAAAAATTAGAATGGGATACATACGGAATAAGAATAAATGGAGAGCTCTTGAACTACTTGAGATATGCAGACGATATAGTCCTGATAACAGATAAGAAGGAAGAGTTACAGAAGATGGTGGAGGAACTAGATAGAAAAGCGACAGAGGTAGGTCTAGAGATGAACTATAGTAAAACCAAGACTATGACAAACCAAGAAGACCAATTAGAAATAGTAGTCAAACAGAATAAATTAGAGCAGGTGAAAGAATACATATACCTAGGACAGATAATAAAGCTGAACAGGGACAATCAAACAGAAGAAATAAAAAGAAGAACTAGACTAGCATAGGCCTCATTTGGTAAACTATCATATATTCTAAAAAATAAAAAGTTCCCTCAATATATGCGAACGAAAGTATTCAATCAGTGCATTTTACCAGTTATCACATATGTCTCTCAAACATGGACTTTCGCAAAGGAGAACATCGACAGGATATCCAAAACACAAAGAGCAATGGAAAGACAGATGCTGGGTATCGGTCTTAAAGACAGGAAAAGAAACTTATGAATCAAAGAAAAAACAAAGGTGAACGATGTATCAAGACAGGTTGCAAAACTTAAATGGAACTTCGCCGGTCACACTCTCCGGCAAAAAGATGAAAGATGGAATAAGCGAATTCTACACTGGAGACTATGGCAAAAGAAAAGAAAAAGAGGAAGACCACAGATGAGATGGACTGACGACCTAAAGAGAACGGCAGGAAAGGACTGGATGCAGATCGCCCATAATAGAGACCAATGGAGGTTAACAGGTGAGGCCTATGCTCAAGAGTGGGCGTTTAAGGCTGATTAGATAGATAAATAGTTTGATTAAAAGTGGACCCTTATATTTAGTGGCTTGTTTTATGTATACCTGGTAAATGCACAACAGAAAACGTTGTGTTGTGATGTAGCCCGAAAGGGTTTTTTATATTTACCTTTTATCAAGAATTTTTAAAGAAAACTTTTGTGATTTATGGTTTACAGCCAACTACAGGAATTTTATTTTCCTTTTGAATGATATGTTTATGTTGATTTCGCTTTCATCTGATAAAATTTATCTTGATTCTGTAGGTCGTGCTTCGTTTTGACTGCCGAGAGCGGTTAGCTCTTACATCATTTTTCAGTTTAAAATAAAAGAGAAATTCTCTATCTAATGCAAACAGTTTTTTCAAATCTAAATGAGTCATCATGCCATAGTCGCGCATACTATAGTTTATTTTTATGAACGAGAGAGTAATTAGCATAATTTTAACTGGTATCTCCGACCACTCCATGGGCGTGCTCAAGATTAATTGAAAAATTACTTTGAATAATTGTAAAAAATAAATGAATTATTTCAGTGTTATAAAGTGTTATGTGTATGTAAACAAAAGTGACCTCTTTTATCACACACTATATTAGAACTGACTGGCCTACATTAAAAAGGGTTTTAAAAAATTCACATTTTTTTTAATTTTTAAAAATTACAAAATAGAAAAAGAGTTTTTAAAACCGTCTAAGGTATGTTAAATAGATGAATAAAAATATTAATATAAAACTTACAGCTACTTGTTACAAATCCAAATCAGATTCAGAAGATGAACTTTCAGAACCAAGATTTATAATAACTGGCTCGATCATTTTATCAGTAATATTGCACATTTTTTCTACTTCTTTAATAGTGTAATTTACTGCCTTTTCCCAGTTTTCAGGTTTTACATTATTTATGGCCTCCAAAAACAACTGTTTAACATCATGAATTTTAAAAGTGGTATTTTTTCTTGAAACTTCACTCTTTATCTGTGCCCACACCAGTTCAATCGGGTTTAATTCACAATGATATGGTGGGGATCTAAGTACTGTCATTCCACGATTTTTGGCAATTTCATCAATTTCGTCTTTTTAAAATTTTCTTTATGAAGGGCACAGAACGAATAAAGTTCCTTTCTTATAGATCCGGGATGGTACGTAATATTTTTTGAACTCAGCCAATTCTGCAAGTCTTTTTTTAACCACTTGGTTGTTTGCAGTCCTTCTATAAGTCTGGAGTGATAACTTGCATTATCCATTACTATTACACAGTTCTTAGGAAGAAGATCTATCATTTGTTCGAACCATTCTTGAAAGACAGCAGCGTTCATGTCTTCATGGTAGTCACCGGTACGAGTTGATTCAAAAGTTAATAAACCACCTTCAACAAAACCGTCTGAACTGCCAATGTGTACTATTATCAGCCTGCGTCCCTTTCCTGATGGTGGGTTTAAACCAGTAGATAAGTTATTTACAAAAGCGTGCCTTTGACTTATAACAGTTTCATCCTGCCAAAATTTATTTGGTGTATGACCCTCGTTGATCCATGTTTCATCAAGATAAAATATTTTTCTTTTTTGGTTTCTCATTTCCTTTATGGTTCTTAGAAAATGTCTTCTCCATATGACAATATCGCTTCTTTCTAATAAAATAGACTTTCTGGGATTCTTTTTCCAGCGGAAGCCTATTTCTTTTAAAAGTTTCATAACGTACTTCGACTCATTTCTGGGTAATCCTTATCATCTCGAACTGAGACAAGAACTTTATCCAATGTTGGAAATTCTTGTCTAAAGAAG